AAGGACACTGCTCTCATACTTGAAATGGCAGATCGAATCCGATTGAGCCTACAAAGTTTTTTTTTTCCTTCGAGATACCAGGCAGCTGGTACTACACTCTTTTAGGGGAAAAAAGCACAGATCTGTAGATCCGCCAGCTCAGATAAAAAAATTCATCTTCCCCAAGAGTAGATACGAAGTCAGTCGGTACACATTAGGAGAAATTTGCAAATGGTAGGTACAATTCAGAAATTCCGGAATTTCTGGTGGTAACCTAGTGCGTGGCGCGTCTTTGAACGGATTGCTCGTTGCAAACCACGTCATTACGCTTAATTCTGGGCACATTCAGCGGAATAAATAAATCGGCTTACTTCTAGCACAATCGTCAACGTTCTCAAAGCAGTTTGGGCCAGCATAACCCACAGGACAGATGCAGTTGTAGTGACCATGGGTGTTGTGGCAGGTACCGCCATTGCGACAGGGTTCATCCTTGCATTCGTCGATATCCTTAAGCAGTTATTGATCAATTGGTTACAGTATTCCCCTCGAAACTACTGCAACTACCATTTCACAGAATCTTCCCTCGAAACCCGGTTTACACTCGCACGTATAGTTACGGTAGTTCGCTGTTGGACGACATGTGGCTCCATTATCACAGCGATTTCGAGAACAGGGATTTCTCTGAAATTTCATGTTCAGTTTTTCAGGAGTGAGGTAATACCAACTGAATAGACCCACCTTGAACTGGCATTTGTCACCAAAGAACGCTGGCGTACAATGGCAGACACCAGCATGAGCAGCATTAATGCATATCCCGTTATTCAGACAAGGGTTATTCGTACAATGATCGACAACCTTCTAAAAAAGTACACTATTCACCTAAAAATTGGAACACAACTAGAGCTCGAGACCAACCTCGCAGTTCTTCCCAGTATAGCCACTGGGACAGTGGCAGAAGTAATCTCCGAGTCTATCTGAGCATGTACCCCCGTGCTGACACGGATTGACTGAGCATTCATCGATCTCCTTGAGACAGTCGAATCCGGTAAATCCGACTGGGCACACGCAACTGACTGATCTGACAAGGTAATGAAGTTGAGCTACATTGTGGGAATTCAGGCAATTTAAATGAGTCTCACCTTGTTCCATTACTTTCGAGGCAGATTTGACCGCTGGGACACTTGGTCATTTCGCAGGGGCTCAACTCGATCTCACAGTACTTGCCAGTAAAGCCCTAAGAGAAGAAACTAGGAGAAAGTGATGGTAGATGGGTGTAAAGTAGCAGACAAGTAAGTACCGTTGAGCATTCACAAGTGTTGTTCCTGCAGATTCCCCCATTCAAGCAGCTACCGGCTGAACATGCGCAGCGATCACCCGAGGAGCATTTCTCGGCACATGTGGGGCCAGTAAATCCTGAAAAATGACCTTTTGAGAAATCAATCATTCGGAAGAATGACCCTAACTTACCCTCAGCACAAGAACACTCGAAATTATTCAGTCGATCAACGCAGACACCATTGTTCAGACACGGATTTGGATAGCACATTTCCATCAGTGTGTCGCAAGATGAGCCGGTCACGCCTAAAATGGATAGATAGTCTTTTTTAAAAAGAATTAGTAGCTTTTTAGTAAAGCCAAATGGCGCGTTATGAACTGTAGCTGGAACTTGATACATACCAGTAATTAAAAACACAAATTGAAGACAAATTGCCACCCTCCCTATTTAATAAACACCAAAGGGGAAGGGCCATGACGTTGCTGAGCCTGTAAAGTTACGATCCCGTGCTAAAATAGAATAGACGAGATCTTGCTCCCATACGTAGAATGCAGGAACTGGGGCCTGACAACTCAATCTAATCGGTTTCGTTCGAGAACCGAGCGCTGAACACACGGAGCCCAGATGCAATGTGGTCAACTACTCATTTATTTCGAAGAGAAGTAGGTGGCTGTGGCTCCAGACTTCTCATTGCACCCGCACCTCCAGCACAATTCCGTCTTCATGGGTTAGCCAAGGCTTTATACCTATGAGGTCCTCGATACCATTCATTAGACTTGGATATTGGCTCCTGCTCTGGTACTGGTTTCTATGGTTCGCTGGCTGAGTTTCAGGCTTATCTGAAAGTTGTTTTTGAACTGACTAGCCAAGAGTTCGCCCGTCTCCCGCTAAGATTCAAGCCATTCGGGGCAAATGGTGCTCAACACGCCACAATGGTCCGCAATATCAAGTAACAAGTCACCTAAGCCTCCTTCAGTTTGTCTTTAGATATCTAGACCATCTAATAATCTTAATCACTTTGAGAGTAGTGGCTATGCACGTGACAGCTTGCTGTAATTCTAGAATGTAATGAAAGCGAAGAAAGTTCTAACCGAAACGACATTGTGAGGGAAAGCTCTAGTCAACGAGAAACCCTCAAGGAAGGGTTCGATGGCATGGTCATTTACTTCCTGAAGAGGCTCAGAGAATATCTAACTGTGTGTTGCTCATTTTTGTGTATTGAAAGAAGCGTCGACTTGAATATCGACAAACTCCAACTACCCTTTATATTTGCTTTTTTTCAGAGAAGGCTTACCAGTGGGACATTCGCATGTATAACTGCCGGCGATATTCACACACGTGGCTCCGTTATGACACAAAGCTTCACCCCACTCGGCACATTCATCGATGTCCTCATCGCAATGCGCTCCCTGTAAAAAAAGACAACCTCAAACAGTCATCAACCAAACAATGTAAGACTTACCGTGTAGCCATGATCACAGGCACAGGTTGAGTCACCCGTCTCAGGATCGCCAATGCATCTCCCATTGAGGCATGGCATAGAGTGACATGGATCATTGTACTGACAAAGCGATCCTTGAATGAATTATGATAATGGATAATATGAAAGCATTGGTAGAAATCAGATATATTTTGAGTCCATGTGACTATGGTGGGACATTTGGGGTGTGCGCAGATTACGGTAACCGATTGGAGGGTAGCAGCTTTTGGATGAAACAATTTCCTTGTAAGAAAAGAACTTGGGTGAGCACTATTTTGTGTGGACGCTAATAATCAAAGTCTTTGCCGAGGGAAACGCGTTGGATGCTGTGAACCAAAATGCCCCAACTATGTCACATAGCCCTTATAATCTTCTTAATTTCCTTTCCTCCATGGACATTTTGAGATATTTTTCTCTAGTACTCAGTGAGCTCCTTTAGCATGTGTCTTTATCTACATAATTGGGCCTTAAAAAGAATTTGGCGGGCTTACTCAGTCGCTGCCCTTACCCGCAACCAGGCCTCGCAGACAGCCGGGTACTACCGCTCCTCTTTTTCATGGCTTTTTGACCTCCTCTTCAGGAGCGTTTAGCTCTCTGTGAATCTCCCATGAACTTAGTGATATCTTTAAATATATTATTAGTAGTAAGATTGTTTAATAAAGAACATAACTAATTTTCTAGATTTTATGTCGTTTTTTTTAAAGTCTGGGCATGTTGACAAATATAATATTTCGACCATTGTTTATTGATTCATTCCACTATGTTATTGATATTATTTGTAACTTCTCAAAAACAAACTAAATAGATGAATATAAAGGACCTATTCTTCCTTCCGGGCACTCGCAACGAATACGAACCAATCAGATCCACACATGTTGCACCAGCGCTACATTTGTTGTTGACGCAGTCATCTTTGTTGATCGTACACAATTCGCCTGAACATCGAGATGGAAGGCACACGCAGACGTGGCGATTATGATATGGAAACAAAAAGCTGGTACATATGAAATACCTTCGAACGCTGCTGTACATGCGCACTCAAAGCCGCCGTCGAGGTTCACACATGTGCCGCCGTTTTCGCACGGATTCCCCATAGAGCATTCATCGACGTCTTTTTCACAGAACAACCCTGAAGCATGGGCAATCAGAAAGTCAACTTATCGTTTCGAGGAAGGCTTTGTACTAAAGTTCCACAATTCAGCCAAACGCCTTTTCGCCACCACTAGAACACTCAAAATCGGGGGAAATTCCTTCAATCCCAGACCATATTCTACTACTTCCTGCGAGGCGATTTCACTTCAATCAGAGGAAAAAATTGAAAATGCTCCCAAAAAGAATTCACCAAATCAGAATGCTCAAACAAGCTCTGCCCATAGTAGTTTCTACCCACGCCTTCATGATAACAATTGTTCCAACATTTCCCACCCAAGTAAATCTTATAAGAAAAGGCAGTTCCCAAATATGGGTTTTGTAGATCTCTACTGTAGCCCAGAAGTCCACTGTAGCCACTAGTTTGCTGAAAATATTACCTAGCTTCTTCAATGATGCGGATCGAGGGCGCTATCGCAAGATACAGGGCACTGTAGTGGCAATGCATTTAAAACACGAGCGAGAAATATTGTTTTTTTTTTTGAAACAAGACTAAGCCTTGGGCAAGGGAGGAGAGAGTCCAGGAGGCCGTGAGCGATTTTGTTTCCCCGACAATTCCCTATGCTAGGCTTAGTCCTGGAGGATGCCCCGTATCTGGTAATAGCGCCTTTCACAGGACTTATTATGTCAAAATGAATCAAATGGGACCCACCTTGATACATTGGCGGACAAATGCAAGCATTGTTGTTGTTGATCTCGTCAGACACACAAACTCCTCCATTACGGCAGACATTCGGGCCATTCGATGAGCACTCGAAACCGCTACCGATAAATTTGACAGTCCCTTCCGAATGAAGCCCTCATATCGCATTCACACCGGTATGCAGCCCATCTGGAACCATGACATACCCACGCGCAAATAGCCGCCACCAGTGTCTCTTATTTCAAAATACGAAAACTGCTGCATTCTGTTCGTTCTCAACGACGATGTCGACGTCGACGACGACGAGGCCGCGCCGGATGATTTGGTGGTTTTCGCTTTCGTAACTTTCTCAGGCCGCAAAAAACACGCGCTGCGGTGCGCAATCACTCGTGGTAAATTGCGCGTTTGTCCTCTCATCTCCACTGTTCGCTGTGTGTGTCTGTGTGAATGTCGGCGGTGTGTTACCCGAAAGACAAAGCCGGATCGGTGGACGCGCAACGTACCACTGGTCGTAAAAAATGAGCTTGACACCGACAAAAACGAACTCGTGTGAACATTCAACAGCGATCTCTATCGTTGGTCGGGGCAATGTTTGGTCTCTGGGCGGGCCATTCATCATGAAGTCTACTCTGAAACCTACCGTATTCACACATTTCCCAAAGGCACATGGCGATGAGTCGCACTCGTTGATGTCGTGCTCGCACTGTGGTCCATCAAACCCAAGAGGGCAAACGCACTCAAAGCCTGTCCCGTTGCTCGAACACCTTCCTCCATGGTTACAGTACTCAGGTGGACATGGATCTCGTTTTTCGCACTGCTTACCTAAAATGAAGTTTTTTCAACCTGAAGGTGTATAAAAAAGCGCTTGTGTGTTATATCGCTCAAATGAGTATCCTTTTGGAACTCTCAATTTTTGAATGATAACAGTACCAGTAGCCAAGTCAAGTTTGTGCAGGTCGGCGCGATGGTTTAGGCTACCCAAGCTACTTCTTCCCTTAGGTCGTCAAGATCTATCGAGGGAGGGGAACAGTGCGGGCTTCAAGACCTAGCATTGTGGGTTTCTTTAGGTCTTTCTCTAAGCCAGAAGCGCAATATTACCGCTAGAATTCTAAATAGAAGTCAAGAAGCTGGCGCATTTCAGTAATGAAAAATCATATAACGCCAATTTTTTCCCATGTTTCCTACAGTACTTTCAGAATTTCAACCGCAACGTTTCCCTCAATGTCATTCTAAGAGCTACCGACAAGTCGACATGCGGCAAGGCCGTTTTTAACAAGGCAACCAGCCAGAAACATATGGGAACGTTTCGTCCTTTCATCCTTGTCGACAGTAAATGCCTACAAATACACCGATTGATGTGTGAAGCCTAATTATCAGATCTTATCGCGGTAATTCCTCGCCAGCCCTCCGATTGAAACCTTTCCTGACGATGCCAATCAATAGCCGCTCTGATAAATGAGGGTCGTTAGGAAGTGCCAGTGAAGATTTGTGACTGGGCAAGGGCGAAGGGTCCGACCACGTTGACACATGAGATCGATTGGGTCCAAATGAATGGAGTGGTTAATTTAAGTCACTAGGTGTCACTTTGCACTCAGGAACTGACACCTTTTGGGGAGGTGAAGACGGAGGAGAAGGTTGTGGATCTTGTTTAATGGGACCAGAAAACTTCTCGATACCACTAGCTCTAGGTGCACTTTCCAGTTCCTATGAAATAGCTCTCTGCCACCCCCCCCCCCTTAACAGAAACAAATCCTCAGAAAACTTGACAAAGTTACATAAGTAACCGTGATGGGTTACTGTCAGTCACAAATTGATGCAGCTACGGTAAAGTTTTCAGTAGGTCTGATTTATAACATTTTTTTCGCTTGTTCTGCTAACTTTGCATACAGCTCTTTCGATGGAGCATAGAACGTGGCTTCTTACTCACCGCTCCCACCATCAGTTCCTTCCCTAACCCTTCAAAAGCTACCTTAGAGGTTACTGTTGTCAATCCTAGTGAGGGTTGGAATCGCGCCGACGCTTCCAACAATTTTTGAACCCCATTGTTTTGCAGCATATTGATAACTAAGATATGATAGAGCATCGTGCTATGAATAAGGAATAGGATAAAGAATTTATAACCGAAGATTAAATGATACGATTACCTTAACTCGAAGATGAAAAATTTAGGGCGGAAGGGGAGGTGGGCGGGGGGGGGGGGAGAGCAGAAGAGCTCAAAACGTAAGACGCTAAGCCAACACCCGTACACACCCTTCAGTTTCCCTTCGCTTGACCTATGACAGAGGTAAATCATATAAAAAAAGGATAAAGCATTTGCCGTTGATCAATCCCTTTTTGGGATGCGGCACGCATTCTACTTCCATTTGTACATTCGCAGTGGCATTTGAATGCGATGTGGCCTATACAATGACTTGCGGGGGCCAGCCGATGTCAAGTCAGTGTTTTCCTCCCAGACAAGTCTGGTACCAATTAACCGACCCCGGAGGGATGGAAGGCTTGGTTGGCCCGGGCGACTCACGACCCAGGATTTGATCCCCGGACCGCTCGCGTAAGCGTGCCACTTGCCACTACACTACTTCTGCCACCATAGAGAGAGCTTGCAAAATGCGCGACCGAGCACTTTTCTGGGCTTTCGACGGCAGGCCTTAATCCAGGTTATCCTGTACTCGCAACACTTTATTGAAATACTGCCAATCGCATGAAGCAGTACCGCTGTCGGCACCCGTTTCCCCCGAAGCTGTCGCAATCCCATTGCAGCCACCCTCCCAAACGCTGGCCTTGTACCTCCCGGGGCAGTTGCATCGCGCGCTGAACTTGGGTGTGATTTGAAATAAACGTGGAACGCGCATGCGTCATTCGTATGTAAATGCAGCTGGTATGTTCAAACGGTTGCCGACACCACGTATCACTGACAGCCGCCCGATGAAGACACAACGACGACGATGACGACGTCGACGGTCGGGGCCCCGACTATGAGGTGAACAGTCGCGCGAACGGGCAATCATCCATGTGTACTTGCGATTCGCAAACCTCAACCTTGAGCCGATTATAATCATCTTTTCGCATGAGATAGACAAATACGGCCCGCGTTGCCCTTCGTCAAACAACTGTTATCGACGGAACCGCGGAAAAACAGACAGAAGACGCTTAACAACTCACCGATCCAACCATCATTGCAGCGACACTCATACTCTTCTAGACTGCTTGTAAGTAAACATTTTCCGTGATTACCACAAGGTGAGCTGCGCTGACAGACGCTATCGAGGACCTGCTCACAGTACTTGCCAGTGAAGCCTGAAATGTTTTTTTATTTGACGTGATCAAAAGCAAGGAAAGCAGGGTGATCACTGCGTAACAGTGCGTATTGGCGTACATCCGTCGTATGTACTACGGGGATACCAGGGAGGAATCGCTGAACGAACCTTATCCATCCCGTTCCCATACTGGGCACGGTATCGTTTTTATATAAACTCGTACATGGGGAAGGCGGTAGTAAGGGTGCCAAAATGTTAAAAGTTCAGCATATTCAGTAGGCGACGTGGTAGAAAAGAGAGCAACTGAAGGCATAATTCCAAGTTAACAATCAAGTTCATCAACTCACAGCGCGAAGTTTGATCAGACTACATAGCGTTTGCTGTAGAGAGCCTTCACTCGTGGTTGAACTTAAACCGCTCTTTTCGCTCGGGAAAATTAATTTCATGAGAGCTGCACCAGTATTCCAGCCAGTGATTGAAGAAAGGGGTCCTAAAGTGGTCGTCCACAACTCAAAACCCTTATCTCAACAGCTCAGGGTCTTGAATGGTCGGTCTGCTAGAATGCCTATTGGTATTGCCCGAGTAGCAACCTCAAGTTCAAGTCATAAATATCACTGAGAGGTCTTAATGGATTCATTATCCGTCACACCCTGCCTCGAGCAACTGTTGTCCATAAATACTCATTAGCTCACAGATGCGTACTACTCACTATTCGGTTATTACTCATTAATTCAATACTAAAAAACGCTCGCAAGATGTCTGAATGGTCAGTGGTCGTAAAAAGCGCTTCGCCATAAATCTACTAACTAGACCAATGCTACTATCTGTACTGGCAGCGCATCGATGAGGGAGAGGTTATCGCTGTGCAGCCCTCCCTCATAAAACTACGCTATCAGGGTGTGAAAGGAGAATTCCCAAGGGTATAAGAAGCGTTATCGAAACCATTTCTGAAGAAAAGCAAATAGTCATACTCGAGCATTCTGCAAGGTCAGCCTGTTTTTCCATTGACGGCTTGTAGCGCTGAGCGATGGCAACCTGGGTACCACCCCGTAGAGTCGCAATGTTAAGCCTTCCGAAGAAAACAGTGATGGATGAGAAAGCTTAAGTAGTCACTCCGTTTTTTGGACTTACATTCGGACCAAGGTTCGTTTTGGAAGCGCTCACACTGGAGAGCTCAGAGAAGATATGACTCAGCAATTTGGGGGTTTCTAGGAAAGAGCCCATTAGTAGCATAACATACATAGCCCGGCTCCAGGTCTGCACTTTTAGAGCGATGGAATCCCAATTCCTCCTATAGAATGTTAAGTACTGAATGACGAGCCGGGGAGGACAGCTTCCAAAAAATATCGAAAAAATAGCGGTTGGCTCTAGTTAATCATTGTAAAGGCCAGATACCCATTTAGGTGAATTTATGAGTCCTCAGGGAACTAAAGCAGCGTAATAACTTGAAACTCTAGAAGGGTTAGCATTTCAATGTTTATAACGCTCGAATGGAATAGAGCTGCGTTGTTTTGGCCCTGTCCCAGCGCTGAGGTGTCGTGCCACTCGCATGGGGGTAATCCAAGCGTACTCGGACATGGTGTGACAATCCAAAGATTTACGGTAGATAGTGAGCGATGCACTCTGATAGGCACGAGACACGCATGAATGACAATTAATCGTGACCTGTGTGTGCTTCGAGAACTCCCAGTTCCCCAGTGTGATACATCCACATTAACTCAATTGATAGCTCACCTAACGGACATTGACAGCTGAAGGTGACGTTGTCGTGTGAAACGCAGATGCCCTCATTTTGACACTCCTTTCCGCACATCGGCACCTCACATCGATCACCTCTGAATGTTCGAGGACATCTGAAACTGAAACTGTTCACAGAAAGTTCTGGCACGGTCCTGAACGTTGAGGGTTTCTAGAGGCTAGGGACAGAGCTTACTCGCTGCCACGGGCAGGGGTCGAAATTCTAACTATGTGTATACAAGTTATCTAAGCTCTTCGAGTTGCCGTCACGTTTGGTGCACGAGGTAATAATTCCGGGTTTCTTCCAGACTTAATACAGGTTGAAAAAACATGACAAAATAGGAATGTTGCCTGCTGCATTTCATTTTGCTGTACCTAACGGTCACTAAACCAAAGAGGTTCTTGTAGAACATAAAAGAAATTTCCTCGTTTCCCTTGAGAGGAAAAATAGTCGCTGTTTACTTGGCTTTCCGGCTTGAGACCACGTGCTATACGAAGTTATACGATTAATTTTCTTTCTTTCTTTCTTTCTTTCTTTCTTTCTTTCTTTCTTTCTTTCTTTCTTTCTTTCTTTCTTTCTTCTTCTTTCTTTCTTTCTTTCTTTCTTTCTTCTTTCTTTCTTCTTTCTTTCTTTCTTTCTTTCTTTCTTTCTTTCTTTCTTTCTTCTTTCTTTCTTCTTTCTTTCTTTTCTTTCTTTCTTTCTTTCTTCTTTCTTTTCTTTCTTTCTTTCTCTCTTTCTTCTTTCTTTCTTTCTTTCTTTCTTTCTTTCTTTCTTTCTTTTTTTCTTTCTTGGAGCCGTCAAAAAGTGCGGCTGGGCCCAGACTTCAATGGTTTCACGTCAATCACGTATCCGGGCGGCGTCATGGTTCTCAAAGGATGTCGAGTGTGTGGCGTACATTGGTCCAGTCAGAACCATTCTCCCGCTTATCCTTCTTATCGTCCAATTGAGTCTATTAATCTGTTGGTGTCGTGCTTTCACTGTGTCACAGATACACGACGTCCTTAGTGTCAGCGCATCGCTGAGCGCCGGCGCAAGCAACAAAGGACGTAATTTGAATAGGACAGATGGCCACGCAACAGCGTGGGAACCTCAAGTTTCCATCGAGAAACGGTATGGCTACGGACACGCAATCGGACACAACTGCGCACGCAATAACAGAGGTGGAAGAGCTACCACAAAGCGATCGTAAACGAGCACGTATTCTCGCGCTTATGGAAACGATTACCTCGGAACCCCGGACCAATACGCAACAACAGTCAGGGGGCAATATATCGAAAATTATCCTTCTTGAGGCATGTTCGCGGATGAGCCCTTTCGTTCTGACTTCGGAGGCAGGTACCCCCATTAAGGTCCAAAAAGTGATTTCTGTAAGCTTCGAAAGGTTAAAATTGTTGAGAGCTGCCGGGTGCCGTAGTTCGATTCCGCAATGGGGCAAAGTTTTAACCCATAAACCAGCGGTTCTTGTAAAACATCCGGCAACGCGAACTGCGACATCAAACAAGAGCTAACAAACAAAGCCGATGAAACTTATATTGCTTTTTGTCCTTGAACGCACATGAAGCTCCTCGGAGAGAGAAAAGTGTCCCACCGAAGGAGGAGTCGGTCTGACGGAAACGCGGGGGGAATGCCATTAACCTCTACCGCATCTGTACCCTAGCCCTGCCCTCACCGTTAGTAGCATGGATCGAGGTAGTAGGCCGTCCGATGCCTATCATCCCCTTCAGGATGCGCCGTGGGCCTGACACCTCTCAGAACAGCGGTGGTGGGAAACTTAACCTATTTATTAACTTCATGGGCAAGTTCTGAGTCCTTTTTCTTTCCCAGGCAAATCGGCCCCAATGGGCCGCAGCCGTGAAGATGGAAAGGAAGTTGACACTAGCGGTATTTCCCGGCTATGCGTATGGTAGTGGGAGCTGCTTCACTTGGCGCTGCCCAAGCAATGCTGACTTAAAACCTTGAGGAATTTCGTGAGTTCGTGATACGACTCTTACGCTCCTTACAGACACCAGAGACCCAGAGTGAGGAAAAAGGAAAAGATGAAGAAAATAAAAGGCTACACTTGTTCTAAAAGGTATTTGATAAGATAACGCTCGCCGCACGTATTGCATATGCGCGTTTAGTGATTCTCGTTTGTAACTTTCTAGATGACGAAAGTCGGGCCATAAAGAGATAATGGAAATCGGCATTGCTCCACATCAATTAAGAAGAAATAGACAAAAAATACTTCAAAAACAAAACTACACTCACCTACACCAATGGGTTGAATTCACGCCGGCGTAGCAAGTACCACCATTCAGACAGGACTGCTGGCTGCATGGTCCTGTCAAAAATGGGTGAATTCAGCTGCTTTCCAAAGATAGCAGAGCCAATGACGAGTGTCACAGCACAACACATAGTGCCGTAACATGTGAGGCCATAGAGAAAACTGTGGTTATTACCTTTCTGCTACTGAGCACTCGAGAGGAAAAGACCTAGCTGCCGTGCTTTAGGATCCTTCGAGTAAGCTCCTTCTGTTCAGTTTGGTTTGCTCGGATGGCTCCCTTATCTTATGTAGTCCCTTCTTTTTTCTATGCTATGGTAGCTCACTGATCACTCACTTACAGTCCAGGATCTCATGCGCCTGTTGCTCTATTATCTGTCATTTATACCTGTGGGTGCCGGTAATAGAACTACCTGTCGAAGTAACATGGCATTCATACCAGGGAAGCAGAAATGAAGGCGACGGCACTGAGAACAACATAAATCAAGAATTAGGCCAGCCATTGAAAATCGGGTACAAAATGGTTAGGATAGGAAATTAAATACGGTAATTTTATTTTTTTTTATTTTTTTTTAATTTTTTAAAGGCAAAATTAAGGTTACTTTAGGCATAAAAATTTGCATATATTTAGCAGGGTGCCCAAAGAATTTTTGAGCCTCTTCACATGGAATAGACGAAGCTCAAACAATGCCACATTGCAATGGGTTGGAGGTGTCCACTAATGCTTGATGATGAAGGAAAGTTGTGAATATCATGTTCAACATATGCCAGTTGAGGTGGTCTGGTCAACGTTGAATAAAAAACAATAGATAAAAATTGAACTGATGCCCGGGAACCGTAATAACTTCGAGAATAATCTGAGCTATACGAAGTTATTTCGAGGCAACTGCCTGCAGTAAGTCTGCCGATTCCCACTACCGTGTCAGGCTAGTTAACGTAAGCAACCTACAGCTGGTAAGGCAGGTGATCATGAAATATCGTTCATCGAAATCTCAGGTACTTTTGGTCTCAACTGCATCAAAGGAAGGAAACCAAGAAAGATTAGATCTAGTCAACAATAGCATCACTCACACTTATAAGGGATTGGGAGAAATTTGACGGGGATCTAAAATTAAAAACATGCCATTGATACATTTGAGCAATGTTCTACAATTCCATCTCGGCCCAGTTCTCGGAACTCTCAACTTTCCTGAATTGGGTATTTTATCATCAGGACAAACAACTTCTTTGGATCAGAATGTTGGAATCAAACAAGTTCCATAGAGACGGTATCACTCGACTATTGCAGCGCCAGGCACTTACAGCAATGGGAACCAAAAAGTCAGTAATTTTCTGTTGAGACTTTGACTTCAGGGGTGTTTCAGACCGGTGACCACGAACATGACCCTCTTGTCTTTTTAATATCAGCAAATCTATACAATTCAAATTGAATATTGTACAAATGCAATATCAAAAGGAATCGCACAATTGGAGGTGAGATGGGATTTTTTTAGCAAAAGTTGACATTGACACGTTAACACGTGTTCAGACAGAGACTAACATGATGAAATGGCTGTACTTGTTAGAAATTGGCGGGAACTTCTCAGTAGAACCCGATATCAAATTTTTGAGGCTTTGACGTTTAAGCTCACTTTTGCTGTAGTGGTACTGCGCTCAAATAGCTCCTTATGCTCAAAATCCTGCGATTTACTAAGACTGGGGAAAGTGAAGAGACAGAGAATACGGTAATAAATTAGAGTGAACATGGAAACCCAATGCGGCTAGAAAGACACAAATAGGCAGCAATAATCGCCTGGAAAAAGTAATAAAAATAATAAAGAATAGCCTGACAACGTTTGAACGAGTTCAAGATGGCTCAAGAGCGCTAATGTTACCGTAATTTTTGCCCACCCTGCAAAAAAAATAAAACCCTCATCGGAGGCCATGCCCACAAATGATTCCACTCTGCGAAATCGCGATAGCAAGCCGACAAAAATCTCCTGCATAGGTATTAATTTGCTTCTGTAATGAAGACACTGTGAGAAAACCTCCGCAGCACTCCAAATTCAGCGGGGCATGCAAAAAACCACTAGCGAAGGCGCTAATCGATCTGACGGGTTGATTGGCAATATGCCAAAGTTCACGCCGTGATTCTCGGGATACTGTAGCGGTATTGTCTGCTGCTTTTATATTTGTGAACCTGTACTCTCGAGTCCCGAGTAGAAGAAAGGTGTAGGAAATTTCAATTTCAGTAACAAACCTGGTAAAAACTTTGCTTCCAGTCGGACCATATACATCAGCAATAGTGTGGCAAAGCGAATCGAGTACCTCATTATCGCCGGCGACCGGTAATGTCAGCAGTTGATCAATATTTGATTTGATACTATCTACTATTACTGCTTAGCGGACGAGTATTGTGTCACAGCCTAAGACAGGTCAATTATAGCGTATAACAAACAGAGAACTTGGACACTTTGAGGGCGAAATAGAAAATAATAGAGATGAAATCAATGATCTTCAAGCATATGCAAGTGAGGTGAGGTTTAGTCAACGACCACAAAAAGGGCACGACGCGAATGGGCGGAGAAAGGGGCGACGGCTGAGGAAGGCACACTGTAGCTCTCGAAGTGGGCGCGGCTTAGAGGAAGTGAACCACAGCTGGAAGATACCCAAAAAGCTTTCCTTCTTGAAAATAACTCGTTAATTGGCAAACTCGGTAACAGAGCACAAAAACAGGACTGGCCAGAAGCCGTCGCATGACACTCCGGGTAGCTAAGCCAGCATAGAACGGCAAAGTATCTCACGCCCCGGTTGAATTAGTTGAATTTTAGCATCAGCATAGTCATGATAGGAGGCTTATTTTGTTGAACGGGTGGCGCAGCGAGTCACTGCACAAGACAGGTAATCATTTAGAGACTTTCAAGCATCTTACTGAAAGCCAGACTGGTATTCCTTTCAGGATATCACCTATTCCTAGTGCTAAATCACAACTAGACAACTAGGGTACAAGTAGAGCGAATTTTGTGCATTTTTACTCAAGTCATTGAATGAATCAACAGTGAAGTAAGGGTCTTTGGTTTCCTTGAGAACTGGAGGATCTACCTAGGTTTTCCAGTCATTAAACGAAGACGAACTAAGTTCCCTTAATTGAAATCCGCGTCGACAAAGCCCCTCTCTTGGAAGCTGAAGAGGTTCTAACTTTGCAGATAGCAGTAAGAGGTGGCAATTGCCCTAAAAAAGTTCTCGAATCTAATTTGAAAACACCAAATTCAAAAAGGAGGATGAACCATTAGTCATTAACAAATGGTCTCAAACAGCAGAAATAAACTATAAAAATTAAGTAAGGACTGGAGTTTTGTGCGGTGCTAATGAGAAAAGGAAATCTCTGATCCGTCCTTAGAGATATAAAAGATTACCGCAAACGCAAGATTACCACAAGCATATCCTGGAGGTTGGTCATCCGAAGTGGCTTCCGGATTAGCTGACATACCGTATCCGTTAATCCCAAATTGCTTTATGCGTCTGCATCTTTTGTACCGCTCGTAAGTACTTGCTTAGCGATAGAAGGCACTTGTTGCTTCGCATTGCTCGCACTTGCTCTACGACGCTGTGCGCTAGGATACGAACGATGAAAGAGTTTCAGCCTTTTCCAATTAAGTACTTCTGCTCTAAGTTAACTCTGTGCAGTAGCTAGCAGTATTTGTTCCGTAAAAACTGGTAGATATAATGCGAACAATTTTATGGCAATGGGAAACGAGAGCAACGTAGGTGAGATTTAGATGCGAGAATAAATCAGAATAAGAAGAACACGTTTACGATACCGTGTGTAACAGGTTACGCAAGCACTTTTCATCGGAAGATGCGTAACCGGTTACGCATGGTGATGTCACCATAGTTTCGAATTCTATACAAGTGATACTGTCAAATTCGTATGCTACGACTTATCACCTGGAGTTCATTGATAAAAATTCAAAAAGAGGTACCCAGGCGCCTACCCTGACGCAGCTCGCGAAAACATTCTAGCGGCTCTCGCGGATCCGTTGAAATTCTCAAAGGATCCGCCCACAGGCCTCGACTGACCAATTAGAACCCGGACTAGATTGTTTCGGTAATTATCTGGAGAATTTTCGGGCGAAACGTTAAGGTTACTGTACACTTGCGAGGGTTTCGCAAAATAAGTTGACAGAGGGAGGGCAGATCTACCTAAGAATTCCTGAATCTTCCAGATATCCCATTGTTCGAGACCCAGGAGAAGAGGTTGCAAAAGTAAAAAGGATAAAAGGATAAAGCATTTGCCGTTGATCAATCCCTTTTTGGGATGCGGCACGCATTCTACTTCCATTTGTACATTCGTAGTGGCGTTTGAATGCGATGTGGCCTATACAATGACTTGCGGGGCCAGCCGATGTACAAGTCAGTGTTTTTATCCTCCCAGACAAGTCTGGTACCAATTAACCGACCCCGGAGGGATGGAAGGCTTGGTTGGCCCGGGCGACTCACGACCCAGGATTTGATCCCCGGACCGCTCGCGTGGTAAGCGTGCCACTTGCCACTACACCACTTCCGCCCCTTGGTCAAAAGTTTATTAGAGAATTCAATAGATGAAATACAAAACGCCTGAATCCTTTGAAAACTGCCACCAATCAACGCCGATTGTCGCTGTACTACGCAAGGATTTTTGGGATCACCCAATTTTCAGTTCGAATTTTTCCTCACACCTGGCAGAATTCATTTGCTCTAAGGTCATTTGAAGGGATGATTTGTACAATATCCAAGCCAGCGATAGACTGAAGACCGATGAAGCGAAACCAGCCACTGCATCATACCTCACTAGCATCACATCGATACTGAGTTTACCTGAAGTTCAGGAGAGGACGGTCCTGCCCAGGTCAATCTAAGTACTTGTTATCGGACTTCTTCTACAAAATAATATGAGTTCTAAGTTTGTTGCGTACTCATGCCTTACTTGCAACGAGAGGATTTCTGTCAAGCATATTGAAGCAGCAATTGCTAGGAAAGGTATGTAACTCGGCGCTATCGCAAAATACTGGGGCATCCTCAAAGACTAAGCAGGGAGGGGGCAAGAGCTCCGGAGAAAATTAAAAGTGCTACGCGCTCTTAATTCTCTCCTCCCACCTGAGGCATAGTCACTCCAACAAGAAGATATTTCACGCAATTTTAAGTGCATTGCCACCAATGCCCCGTTTCTTCAAGGAGATCCTTTTGAGCACATTTAATTACACGTTGGGCAATCCAACAATGGCGGGTCGTGTTTTATTTTTCAATTTTTGAGTGATGAATTGATGGATGATGAGTCTTGTATTTATACTAGAAAGTGTGAGAAGATAAGATTTTCGAAAAGTGAGATAGACTTTTACGAATTCAGAAATCTTCAAAATGTTTGCTGTTTCTGCAGCTGCATATACATATTCCCTCATTGACCTCATCATTGTTTCTTAGATAAAAGGTGGATGGGGAAAAAAAAAACCTTTCGCATCAGAAAATTTCTTGACGCACAGGGCATCGTCGTTGATGGGTGGCTTCTCGCTCTCTTTGAAATATTTGGAATGGACTTCGAAGTCGGTGCTATCAAGCTCAATTTCTACCATAAGGGCTCCATTCCGAAGATGCTACCTCATTCCTTCATTTGATATAAGGCTCCTGACGGCTAACATTTGAGAAATGTCGTCGTCTACGACCAGTCGAGCAACTGTTTGGGCTCAATCTTTACACGATGTCCTGTGGCAAATTCATACGATAACAGCCTTAGGGCTGTTATAAAGTTGCTTAGATTCGAATGTATTCTACAATTTCCAATTAGAATCATCTGGTTTAGACGTAGCGAAGTGTGATAAAGTCAGTATTTTGGGAGGGAGGAGAAGTGAGGATGGGAATGAAAAGTCTTTGTTGAGCCTTCCTTGTATACTAGTGGTGCTCTTCTGTACGTTCAAAAGCTTTTTTTGTCAAGACGTTTTCTTTTCCTCTGTTTTTCACCTGTGACAGGAAGTGCTTAGCTGTTTCAATGGTCACTTTCTCTTGAAAGCAAGGTAACCATCCGAATTTCAGAATTTCATGGCAGGGTTTGGTGAAATTTTTGGATGGTCACAATCACTCCCTTCTCGAAAAGGGCTACCATTTCATACTTAAGTACTTCCTCAGCTAGCCCATCACAAAAAATCAACTCTCAAAAGTCCTGCCGAATGAGGCAAACTTTATATGAATAGAACTATTGGAACAACGGAAGGGAACGTTCAAGTTTCGTGAACCACCCGGAACATTTTCTCTTACAAAGTGCTGTCCACCACACCACTCTCTAACACCACCCCCCCTCCCCCAAGAAATAATATGTGCCTCTCCCTCGCTGTACTTATCGACCCAATAGGTGATCGACTCTGTGCCGAAGTGGTCTGACCTCATCATGAGTATGACAGCCAGCAAAAGTTCCAAAGCTTGCTGCACCCGAGCAGCCGACAATCTCTAGTCGAGGCTCAAGTGGCTCCTTCAGAGAGAACTTGAAGGGTTGCTGTTAATTTTAGAGAGAGCGAACAGATCGATATAGGTTATCACATAGCTCAGTGAGCTCTAGTGAAGGCTCACGATCAGTTGATGATTATCTGATTGTAAGCGACCACACTGATCGTAAAGCATGTATGCGTGCAAAAAGACCTTTGGTAGCGCCAACCTAATGGACCGTGCGACCGCGCTGTATAATGTCGTGGACGATTAAAGCAAATATCATCCTATGACAAAAAAGAAGCCCGAGAAATGGATAGCTACAACATCACGGCTCTTAACAACAGTAGGAGCATCGCGCTCCTTGAAAGGCAATAGAAGAAACCAGCTGGGATGTGCGGCTACGGAAAGCGAGAGCCGAGCTCAAAGGAAGATCACCTGCGTGTCATGTAGTCTTTTAGGAAATTACTGCTACCCACACTCAATCTGCTTCTAGACGATCTCCTGGGGCATTCTGTAAAGCAAATAGAAAAGACTGAACCGTGCGGCTTTCTTAGACATCTCGGGGCACTTCTGTAAAAGAGTAGAAGAAGAACTGTACGTGAGAAAAAAAATGTGACCACGAGCTAGGACGATCGTGAAACGATCAGAGCTGATTAGCCGGAGAATCTGAGGAGGATAAGAGCTGGTATAGTAATATATATTGGGGATTTAAAGGCGACATAGAGAACTGGAGCATTATCTGATTTCAAAGAGAGTCTGCGCCACCTTATCGAACATGAAAAGAAAGGCTCAGTGCTACAAGAGGCTAAAAATGAAGGATAGGAAGATGAGAAGAAGAGAAGCCGCCCAGATAGGAGACAGTAAATACCCAAGTTTT